TGTGCTCTTCCGATCCCCCCAAAACCCCAAAACCCCTTAAAGTTAAATTTGATTTAAAAATTAAAAAAGATCGAAATTAAGAAATTAAATATGATATGTTATGGTTTTAGTCACGATAATTATGTTAAATAAATGACATTATTAATGTTACCATTATCATCTTTTACGTTTGTTTAATTCTAGTCTAATATCCAAACTCCATTAACTCTAAATTTGAATATAATTGATTTAAGACCTATAATAAGATTATACTCATGCAAAACTTACATTTGTTAGCCAAATCTTGCCATATTTATCTACTTATTTGAAACTCATAACTTCTTTCTTCTTCATTTAAAATCATATCTTAACCATTATTCCAACCATAGATTTCAGACATAAACTGCACAGTACTTTCTTTAGTGATTTCGATATTCTTATAATCTTTGTAAATAGAATCTAAACTAAGTCTAACTGTAATATCGATATCTTTATGAAAGTTTATAATTGAGTAGATATCATCTATAATCTTCAATGTCTTTTCTGACTGATACTCATCAAGTTAAATGAATTCATCTGATGGATTCTTCTTGAATAAACTTACTATTTGCTTTAGTTCTTGATACATTTAATTACTCTAAGATTTTATTAACTCAAGTTTATTGAATAGCTCCACTCTTGTTAATTCAAACTCTTCCTCAGTCATCTAATTATAATCATCAGATACAATCAAAATCTCGATATTATCAATCTGCTAATTAAGCTATCTGATGACTAAGTATTCATTTTGATTATTTTCTTAAATTGAAAATTCGTTATTATTACTTTCATCAAAATTTGGAAGTTACAATTAACTAATTTCAGTGCTATTATTACTTTAATCAAGCAAGCATGATTCTTAGATGAAAGGAGTCATCATTGATTATAAATCTTTTGCCTAATCATTTTCATTTTATTAAAACTTTTAATTAAAACTCTTTCTCTCATTTAAACAACTTTCACTGCTATCTGTAGTTTAATCTTGAAACAGAGAAATTTAAGAATCATTAGTAACTTCAAGCAAAGCCATTTGCTCATCCTTATTATTTGAAATCTAATCATGAGAGTTCAAGAATATTTGTCTGAGATTTTCATAAGGTGGTTCTTAGTTAAATTCTAGAGAGTAAATGATCTAAAGAAAGTCATAAATTTGTTTTTCTAATTTTGTAGAACTGTCAAAATGTTTATTTGAAATTATATTAAATTGCAGATCCTCTTTTTAAAGCTTGACTTAGTTATTCAGTTCAAGTTATGTTTAGTAATTTCCTAATTACATATCTTATTTATTAACCCAAGGCAATAGATTTATTATGTAAAGAAATGTGTAGGCTAGAGACTCAAGGTCATCTCTTCTTGAAATATCAATTAAATTATGTGAGTTTAATGATGCAAAAAATGGCGACCCTTTTAATTATTAGATCTGTTCAAGTTGATCACAATGAACTCCGTCTTTCAAATACTGCTTTGATAATCCAAAGTCAATTATATAAACTTTACCATCTTTCATCATAAAGTTTGATGGTTTAATATCTCTGTGTATATAGCCTGAATTATGAAGCTACTAAACAACAGTTATCATGCTCACAAAAAGTTTTTGACCAATTTGATCTAGTCCATCTTAGAAGTCAAATTGATTTGAATTTTATGAATCATTAATAGCATTAATTTACTCATCTAGGTATTCCATCATAAGATAATTTACAATTTTGTCATTAACCTTTGTACAGCCATTCTTAATATATTTTGGGAAGAAACCATGACGTCCATCTTCCGTCATCTTTCTCATTATGATAGCTTCATTTAAGCAATCATTACTATAGCTATTTGGCTTTGAGAATTTAATAGAAATTATCTGATCATTCTTTTGATATTTAAAAACGATACCAAATGTTCCAGAACCTAAGACACTGATTCTTTTATAGCCTTGAAATACCTCTGGAGCTTAATTATCAATACAATTTTTACTTTCTACCATAATTTTTCTTTTCTTTGAGTTGAAATTTGTTGTTCAAACTTTTATCAAATAAATAAATACAATTTTCTTTACTTTTGACAATCCTATCCAAAATGCTTAATCTATGGGGTTTTGGGGTTTTGGGG